GTTCCTTTAATGCAACTAGCCCTATAATTATCTACTAGTCACAAACACACTGCAACAGTAAGACTTGTTGATTACACATAGATGATTTAACTACTTTTTTCTTCAGCGCTCCGAAAAGACACAGAGGCCAATAGTTTTAAATAGAGCACCACAAACAACAGGTATTCCTTTAGAAATAAACTTTTCTTGTGTTACTTCTAAAATCTACAGATTCTTAACTCTGCAACAGTTAGACAGAGGGGGTTACAGTTAGGCCCCCAACAGTCAGCAAAACAAGTCATAAAACAATAAAAGAGGCTCCCTTATCAAGAGCATCCCAGCACACATCCCAACTGTAGTTCCATTACAAACAGTTTCCTTTATCTTATCATGTCAGAGGCCAACTGAAACCAAGTCCACCTATATAAAAAACACCCCATCAGACACAGTATTTTCCTCAGCACTTCACAACTGCCGCAAGGTATAGCGTTTTAACTTTTTTTTTTTCCGGATCCCAGACACACGGTAGTTAGCACACAGTTTGGACATGTAGAAAACATAGTTTGTTTGAAACACATCAGCAGAGAGGTAGAATTCATAGCTGTTCATAAGAGTTTAATTTAATCAAACCTCATTTTACGGATCTAAATGGCTCCTCATCACTAGCCAATTCACCATTTTATTTAAATATCTGAATTTTCGGAATGATGATCCAAGCGGGACACAGAGGCTGCTAGTTTTAACACACCAGAATGCAAATATAAATAAAAGCCTGACTATCCTAAGAGCCTAGCTGCAGTGACACCTTTTTTTTTCACACGGATTCCTGGATGTGCGTTCGAGCCGACTTTGCTACCCGCACAGAGCTTTTCTGCCAGTCGGGTGCTGCTTATACAGTAGAGAAAAGCAACAGTAAAGCGTGTTTCTCTGCTCCAAGAAATCCGAGGGCCTTTCACACAGTAAGCATGTCTGTTATACCCAGCGCATAAATGTCTCTGTGTTAGCGCTGATTATTCAAACCCTGTTTAAAATGTGACACATATGTTATCCAAAATCGTTTCCTCTAAATTTGCAAAGTTACTGATTTAAAAATTATATTTTTGAATTTTTAATTGCATGACAAACATACGATAGACTCTTGAGCATATTTATATAGCTAAATTCACAATGGTATAACCGTGCTAAATAAAAGAGGCCCAAGCACCAAAGCACTCTAATGCAAGCCTCTAAACTGTATGTTGATAAGTACATGAAGCGTACCTTTTCCTCAACAGCTGAAAACAGTCTGTATCCATACCTTGAGGATCTGCTGAATTGTTTTTAATGGCACTTTTTTTGCTGAACTGCAGATGATGATGAATTCCTCTTTATTGTAGAAACTGTCCCTAAGCTATTGTTGCTCAAACTTACTGAGTTCCCTAGCTACTTCCTTACTATGTCAGTAAACTTTTTGAAAAGGAAGCTGTTGTAGATTTAAAGAAACATCTTAATTAAAGCAAAGGCAAAAAATTGGAATGAATTTTATGTGACTGTTCATATTAAAGCCAACAAGTGAAAATCCAAAAACGGCTCCAATCCTTTGCATTTATGATCCCCCTCTCTCTCTCTCTCTCT